CACAAGTCATATGTGTATGTGGTGTCTCACAGAAAGGGCAAAACCGCCTCCTTCAGGAGAAGCAGTGCTCTTTCCTGCCATCCTAACCCTTTACAGAGAGGGCATACTTGCTGCTCACATAGCTCTTGCTGTGAGGGTCAAGCCTTGCTGAAGCCTCGACCTCAAAGACCTGGAGACATGTGTGCATCAGTCAAGCTCCCTGTTGTAGACAGATGAGCCCACAGCAAGGAGTCGGCAGAAATTCTAGAAGGTTCAAAGGGAACAGAAGGTACAGGTGATGGGGATTTTGCAGTTTAACTACAACTCTGCCAACATTTTAAACCCAAAGATGTTGACAGCTTATTGTTAGTTCCTCCTGTTTCAGGATGGTGTCCTGAGCTTGCTTCGGGTCACATGGCATGTGGGATCACAGTTCCCTGACTAGGGATTGAACCTGTGACCCTTACAGTGGAAGCACAGATTGCTAACCACTGGACCACCAGATTATTCCTACTGCTGGATATTTGACACAGAAGGAAGAAACAGCCAAGTTCCCTCAGAAGGGTAGTTAGCCTTTCACCCCTTGCCTCTGCCACCCCCAACTTTACCGCCCATGCCTCCATCTGCATCCTTGTTTCTGGAGCTGGTAGATCATTTTGTCCATTAAGCATGCCTGACCTTCTAGTGCCCTGGCCAGGTCATTACTGCTCCTGGGAACAAGCTTTGACATGAGGCTGGGCCCAGGCCTAATGTCCTTCCATTCCTTTCTTCATGTGGATCGAGGGATAGATGCAGCTCTGTGCCTTGTCCTGGACCCTAAGAAGTCCCCAGTCCAGTGACGCTGCTTGTTTACCTGGGAGTCTAGGGTGCGAAATGGTTTTACACACCAGCTTGTATGAACTATGCCATCCACTTAATATGAAAATTGCCATTCATCCTGCACTCCTCTGCCTTTAATGATTCTCCAGAAAGGTGAGCCCTGTGACACCCAGAAGGTAACAGGGCCCCAATTCCAGAAGAGCCATGTGCAGCAGAGTTGCCAGGTGCTGGGTGAGTCCCCAGAATGTGCTGTGCTTGTTGGGGAACACAGCCCTCTGCCTGTAGAACCCTCCTCCCTGTCCATCCATCATGCCCTACCCTAGTTTTAGCTCCTTCCTGAGGCCTGTGTAGTTCCTTTCTTTGCATAATTCTCTTCCTTCCCCCTCCCCTTCACACCTTGTACTTGGCAAGTGCTCAGTCATCGCCTTGATAAAGCTACCTAAAGTCATTAGAAAGTAATGACAGCCAGCAGTGATGGACATTCCCCATGACTAGCCCCTTGAGCTACTGTGGTTGTGGTGGGGTGGGCAGCACAGTGAGAGGCAGGCTCTGAGAGGGCAATCTGTCATTACCCCCTAAAGTGGAGCCCAGCCAAGCCCGTGCACCCAGAGGTAAGCTCTGTTGCAGGGAGCTGGAACAGCTCAAGTGGGCCTATCTGAAGGTAAGGATTAGGCACCTGGGAGAAGTGGGGTAGAGATGGGGTAAGATGGGGACGTGACACTTTTTAGGAAAGTCAAGAAACCACTATTTGGTTTGAGAGCGGGTTTGCAGATTTTCTGTAGCTTTTTAGTTTTAATAAAACCCCTCTGCCAACAGAAGAGAAGCCCCAATGGTGGTCATGATGAAGCCAGCAGACTGGCTGGGAAGACCACCAGGCCTGAGGGAGCCAGTGTGCTTGCTTGCATGGCATCAGGCTGCTGTTGTGAGGGTGCTGGTGAGATAGATTGGGGCCTGGGTCCCTTTACTGGAGTGCTCACACCTGAACAAACATCTTGCGCAAAAGAACACAAAGAAACTATATGGGACTAAAAATAACTTGATGCATGCACAGTTGGGGTCAATTCTGACTAGTGCAAAAAGACCAAAACCTGTCACTTCTGAGGTACGGGGAGCAAAAGCAGGGTTCTGCACATGATCCTTGCACACAGCACCACCATGTGGGCTGGCAGACCACCCAAGCCACCCTTCCAACCTGACCCACTGGTCGGCCCCACCCTCACCTCATTTAAGGGACCAGCTCGCCCTGCCACTTGCAGGGGTCAAGCAAGGGCACTGGTTCACTTGTTCTTACTTCCCACTGCTGCAGCATGAGTTCCAGTAAAGCCTTGCCTAAATTCCTTGTCTGATCTCTTATCAATTTCTATTGATTAAAGAGTCCAAGGACTCAGGTTGCTAACACTGGTAAGCCATCCTGTTTATTAGACCAGCTTTCATGGCTAGATCTAATTCTCATTCAACCCCACCCAGTGCTGCCAGGGAGGAAGCATGTGTCACAGAGAGAAGGGCTGGAGGAACAGAGGCACAGAAGAGGGGGCAGGTGAGGGCAAGAGGGACAAGTGGCCCGTGCTGCTCCCGAGGCTTTCTCTGCCTCCACCAGAACAGGCCTTCGGGCCAGGAGCTCTGTTGACCCGTCTCACAAGCACCTCTTTATCACTTTAGGAGACTTTGTCCTGAATTTGAGACAGAAACCTGCCTGTCCTTGAGCCTCTGCAGTCAGGTGCTGTGGGATCCCATGGTGCTGACACATGGGCCAGCTATGAGTTGCCAGGCCCATTGGACATGGGTGTTCTGGTGTTTTAATCCCTTGTTGGGAGATTTTGACCCTTTGCCATATCCTTGGAACTCTTGGGTCTTCCTGTAGTCTGCCAAAGGATCAAGATCACAGCTCCATCCAGCAAACTGAGACACTTTTGGCCACAGTTAAGTCATTTGTTCATGTTGGATTAATTGCTTAAGATCATGCAATTCCCTGGTATCTCTGGTCCATGGAAAAAACAAAGTATCACTGCACAGTTAGCTTTTTAGATGTGCTGTTAAGTTACTGAGCTGAGACTCGCCTTGGAAACATGATATCTATACCTGTGTGATACCTGGGAGCTGCCTGAACACAGTGCATTTTAAAATAAGGGTTTCAACTTAACATGCCTGTCCTTCAGGCTGATCTGAGCCCTGGAAGGCTTGAAAAGCAAGTTTCCCAGGGGTAGAGAGTCCAAGGAATTTGCCAGGGACAGGAACATCACTGTGGTGGCCTGTCCATCACTTGGCCTGGCACAAGTACAGGCCTGTCCAAGTACAGAGTGCAAATCAAGCAAAGGGTGAATGGTAATTCATAATCAGGATCCCAAAGGATAATTTTACTTTTTCTACTGCATTATCTCCAACAGAGATAGCAGGCTTGGGAAAATTTTAACTAGACAGAGAAAATTCATGAGCTTCTGGGGAGTCATAAGCTATTATGCTTGATAGGCTGAAAATGGCACCCTCCAACTCAACACCAACTTGGGCCTGGATATTCCTTCTCTGAACCTCTGACTTGTCTCTGAAATTTGAATCTGTCCCACCTTCCTAGGCTTTGTTACATTTGGTTCAAGGAGTATTATGACCACTGTCTGAAATGGCAGAGTTGTGTGACAGCAGTGTTCCCAGGGGACATCTGAAGTTTATCATTTTGTTTAAGTAAAGACCAAAGGGGTAGCAAAGAGAGAAAAAATTAACAGGGCAATCCTCACCATGGTACAAAGCAGGGAGTGGGCCCCATGGAACACAGAAAGCAGCCTCGTAGCTGAGGATCCCAACCCCCGTAAAGTAAATGCAGACCCGGCTCAGACTGCTGCCTACTTTGCTAAGTGGTGGTGACTAATCCCAGCACTCCTGCTGGAAAGCAAGAACCGTGAAGCTGTACAACATAAGAGTTTCCGGAGCAGGTCAGGCTCACATGGTCACCTAGCGCTGATCCCCAGGTGCAAGGTCTGTAGGCCTCCTTCCAAACGCCACAGACCTGGCCATCTGGTTGGAGAATTTTAGTGTTTGTCCACTTCCTGGTCCTACTCACCCAAACATTATTCTCATATGGCTGTTCTGGGAGTGGACAAGCTTTGAAAACCACTTAGAAAAGACTAGGCCAAATTGGACTTTAGAGATGTGAAGTCCCTCAATTTTCCTCCTCTCTTTGGAGGTTCAATTAGAATAATCCCTTTACTACCCTTCTCCTCACTAACCTAATCTCAAACCTCTGAACTCTAAAGGCAGCTCTTGAAATGTATTACATCAGAAACTTAAGAGAGGAGGCCAGTTACCCGATGGGCTACCTGTTAAAAGTTTCCGTATCTTCTGTTCTGCCTGGAAAAAAAAGAGACTTAAATGTCAGTTATCATTCAGGGTTATGAGTGCATTACATTTTTATTTACATTTCACAGCCCCCTCTCTCCCTGCGTTCTGTTCAGGGAATGGCTCACATTCTGACTTCATGTAGGCTCTGACTGGGAGGAGGTAGGGGTGGTGAAATCTCATCAGATAGAAAAGCATAACCCAAATCTTTTCAGATTTCATAATTTTGTTCTTGCTTCTAAAACGACAGTCATCTCTCATGGCGTGTTATGTGCTTTATATCCTGACTTTCTATTTACAGCTTCTTGGTGTGGGGCGCGAGTGCCAGCACGTGGCACTGCTGAGGAAGACTGGTGGGAGCTGTGGGGCAAGGCCTCCACCTCCCAGTGACACTGTTTCCAACTCCCAGAGCTCCTGGGATGAGCTGAGAGTCCTCAGGATGTGGCCTGTGGCAGACACGACGTGAGGACAGCCCGCCCGCTCCTTCCTGGGCACCGAGTTCTAAAAGGCAAAGAGCACATGGTAAGGGGCCAGACTGAGGCCCCTGTGTGGCGCCATGGTAAGCGATGCCGCCTGAGTGAGGCCAGGCAGCAGAGGCACTCAGGTCCCCCCAAGAGGTGAGCAGTGAGTTGGGGTGGAGGGACCGACTCCAACGTAGCCAGGAAGGCTGTGGATCACAAGTGACTACTGATCTGGCATCAGAGACATGACGTTGTCAAAACCACGATGGCTGAGAGTGGTACCAACATGCTGTGGTTGGAGAAAGTGGGTAATCAGCATTTGTGTGCAGAAGAGATGACGCTCTGTGAGTGGCTCAACCGACAGCTCAGCTCAGCTTCTCTTGGACAATGTCTCCTGTAAAACCTCTGAGGCACTTACATAGCATATTTCTGTGTCCACTCTCTTGCTAGTCTGTTGTACCTGGAAGAAAAAAGCAGAGGAAGTGACACCCTCATTCATAATGGTCACTTCCTTTCAATGTGCAGAAGAGAAAATAACTGATATAGGGGAAATGCTGTTGCTTCTCATCAAATACCTAAGACGGATGAATGAATGAAATAGACCGCCTGGACCAGGAACATGCCATTCACGGCCATAAATCCCGAGCTTGGTGAGTCCTAGTAGTTTTTCACAACTATCTGCTGTGGAAGAGTTAAGAGCGTAATAGACCTTCTCCCTCCCTCTCTCCTGTCTTTCCACATGGATGCATTCAGATCAGGAAGAGATACATAGAGGTCAGCTTGGGAAGTCCCTGGTATCCAGCACATGCGCTCCATGAATCTGGCCACCAGAGTGTGAGTCAGCACCACCGCTGGCAGCCACAGAGCAGGTCTGGTGCCCGTTGAGAATATGTGCATTTATCCACATTACCGTAATGAAACCTGGTACCATGACACTGTAAGAGAGCTATGTAATCAGAGGGGACAGTGAAGAAAATCACTTCTGGTGTATCTAAAATATATCATAATAAGTGTTGAAATAAATACAAATTAAGATCTCGTCAGTTAAAAATCACTTTGTCATACAGGAGAACTGAAATGAGGGAAATAATGAGCTCTGTAAAGGTTTCAAGAAATATATGCTGGGAAAACCACATTCCATTATAATCTCTTTAGACAGAAGAGAAGTAATGAACTAGAAGACCCACTGGAGAGTTCTTTTAAAAGCCAGCAACGCCACCCTCTGCACCCTGCTCCTGCCACCACTGCTGACGCCTGGGGCCCTGCCATGTCCAGCCCTTTCTCACAGTGCTGTCAACGCTCAGAGGTTTTCACACAATGTGCCTGCCTCAGCAGCCACAGACATCTGCTCAGGCTACAGGGCACATGGTTGTGTCTGGCCACATGAGTCAGAATTCTATAGTCATGAGTCTGGTAATCAGTACTTAAACGCAGAGTCAGCGGTGAGGGTCTGTCAGTAAACCAGGAGCAAACCGCCTACTTCTCAGCCTCAACTAGCAAACGGAGCACAGCAGTGTTTCCCACCTCAATCAGCCTTGGCCTCACCCTGGGCATATCTGAGCAGATACCCCATTTTCTTGTGATGAAATCCTTGTATTTTAATCCAGAATTTTCTTGCTGTCAGATTCTTCTGAGTCCATTCTTGGCTGATCACTGACATTATTGGCCTCAAGGGCAGGTTTGGCAATAATATTTTAGGATTCAGTAGCAGCAGCTGATGTCCTATCCAGGAGGGCTTTTATCTCTTTTTCCCTCCTCAGAGTCAAAGGATATGTTAGTGAGAGAGGCAGGAGTCTCAGCCCAGCTCAGAATGGGCAGGATGCTGTCCATGGGAAAACCTCATTGGCCTGGAAGCACCAGCTCAGGGTATTGCTGGGAGCTGCCTGGAGCAGCTGGGGCCCAAAGGCAATCCAAAGAGGACACGTACTTCTCTCTATCAGCCTTGTAGGTATGGGCTATCTCTGGCACCAGAGGGTCATCAGGGTTGGGGTCGCAGAGCAGAGAACAGATGGATAAGAGAACTGGAAAGAAAAGAAACAATGAGTCAACTGTAGTCACAAGGCTCCCAGGTCACCCCAGGTCCAGTGAGCCCCTCAACTTGAACTCTCTGTTGACAGAGCAATTATTTTCTCTTTAATCAAAATTATTCCGATGTCCCAAGAGTCATGAATGTATTTACTTTGTCCATCTATCAGCTGAACAGCAATTTTACCCTGTGGTGTCCCACTTACATCTGCCCTAGGGCACTTCTGGCCTTCCTTTCTTGATCTCAAAAGTTCTTTGGCTCCATGCCAATGTACCTTTGTTGTTTGGTCCCAGGGGCCCTGTTCACTCTTAAAGAAACCAGAACTCAGAAGATTCTGGTGACCTGTCCAAGGTTACAGACTTGAACACCCACCAAATGGGTAAAAACAAGATTCGGAACCAGGTCTGTGTGACTGCCAAGCAAACGCGCACTGCCCTGCACTCTCAGTTCTGCTCTGCACCTGTGAGGACACTCCCACCGGGGCTGTGGCTGGAGGCTGGGGAAGAGGTGCTGCTGGGGTTGTCAGGGTCCAGGCTAAATGCACTGTCAACCTTAGATTTGCTCTGGAACACTGTACAAACAAGTATCATCCTTGCCTCAGTGAATCTATCCAAGTCTTGACCACAGTTAAACTATGGTAAACATGTGATTGAGGGATGATTTGTCTTTTTAAAGCTATTCAACTCTCCTGCTGTTCTGAGCTCAGAGGACGTGTCATGAGAGGGCTAGTTCCTTCCTTCCACATTCAAGTGCCTACTCCTGGCCATTCTGATTTCCTCTCCCTTCTTTCTTAGAGAGTGCCCTGACCCCCACACCCAAAGGCATGCTAGGCAGTGGGGTGAGGATTCAGCTCAGAGAGGAGCAGGCCCCCAGTGTGGAGTTGTCTCCTGGAGGCCTGAGTACTGGAGTCAGCTCTGCCTCCACGGCATCTGCACCACCACACGGGAGTGGGCAGCTTTCCCTCTAGATTTACCACGCAGAGTCTCAAAGAGCCTGCTCCGGTCAGCTGTCCTGGTTCCTTGTGGCGCCCCCTCTGCTGCCTAAAGCTCTGCCACCTGCATTGCCTCACACTCCACTGTGTTTGTTGGGCTCTGGTACCCTGATTCTCTCAGGTTGCTGTTTTTTACCACCTCACTCAGTCCACTGACAGGTAACTCACACCCTCTCTGTTCAAGTCTCAGGGTTCATGCAACCATGTTCAGTCTATCTTAGTTGGGAAGGAATATCTGCATTCCTTAAGCCCAGTTTAGACTGGTTTCTTCACCCTCACGCAGAGCACAGGCCCTGCGTCTTCTTCACTGGGGGCTGGTTCACAATCCATGTTGCATAAATGAATAAATGAGAGAATGGAGGAGGCAATGTAATATTTGCCTTTCTTACTTTTAGATCGAAAGTATAAATAGGATCAATATTTTCTTTTGCACCCATGCAACAGTCTGGCTGGAGCACCCTGCAGCAACAGATCCAGGTGGACACGGTGGGGGTCGGGAAAGCACCACTTTGGACTCCTCCCGTCTGGGCTGTGACCACGGGCTAGGACCGAGGCTGCTTCCCTGGAGCCTGAATATGCTCTCAGGAGTGCAAGGGCAGAAACACTGCTGTGACAAAGATGGGCATGAGACAGGCACTCACAGCATCAGAACCTGGTGTACACATCTACCTTTTACCTTTTGACACAGTCAGTGCTGGAGACCACTGGGACCGCAGGATGTCAAGGCAGATGCTGCCATTGCTGTTGATGTTGGGATGATAAATTTTGGTTGTGAAAACAACCTGCAGAGATGAGAGACCTCACATCAGACAGACCACAGGGACATTCTAGATCGTATCTGTCTGGAAAATGAACCAAGTAAGGTGGAAACGACCACTACTGGGACATACCTGGCCCTGCACAATCTTGGGTGAGCTGGGCATTATTTCAAACCAGAATGGGATATAGGAGGGTGCACCTGGAGGAGAAGCCCCCTAACCCATTCCCTGCTGGGCTCTTGAACTAGACGTGGGGACTGACACCATCTACCCCAGAGTAGTGTGTTCTGAGGACTAACAAGAAAAGCAATGGCCAAGACTCAGAAGTCTTCTTGAATAATGGAGTTCTTAAGCCAGATGATGAATACATGGGTATCATTTATATGATTATCTACAATACTTTACATGCCTGAAATAGTTTAAAATAAAACAGGATTTTTTTGTTGGTTTCATTTTAAAACAACTCAGAATATGAGGAGAGGAAGGCTGTGTATGTGAGGCTCAGCATCTGTTACCAAATGACTTTTTCCAAGAGGGGCTTCCCTGGGGGCTCAAATGGTAAAGAATCTGCCTGGAATGCAGGAGACTTCCTGACCGTCCCTGGGTTGGGAAGATCCACTATACCCACTGCAGTATTCTTGCCTGGAGAATCCCATGGACAGAGGAGTCTGGCAGGCTACAGTCCATGGACTGTACACAGTTGGACATGACTGAGCGACTAACACTTTCACTTTTCACTTTTTTCCAGGAAGCATCAAACTTCCAAAGTGTCTCAGGCACTAAATATTTGCCTTATTCTTTATTATCTCCTGTAGAGAAGATCATGCAACCTTGCCAGATTCCCCCCACAGACCCAGAAAATTCTTGCCAAAACAGCAATCTTACTTTATCTTGTTCTCCTATGGAACGGAGATTTTTAAAAAGACAGAAACACTTTCTTCTACTGTAGAAGACACAACATTTTGGCACACAACTCTCCTTGTTACAGTAAACCCAACTCACGGGGCTGACTTCAGTCTCTAATAATAGGCACTGTTTTTGCTTTGTCCTTGGGCAATCAGGAATCCTGAAAATGCCCAACAGACATACAGGATTATATCCCATCTGTTTATTTTAAAAAAGATCAGCAGCAAGTTATACACTAATGAAGGGAATAAGATGCTACTTTATAAGACACTTCAGCAAGTCTCAATAGGGAAAGGGGAGAGTGGGGGTAGATTCAAGACCATGAAACGTGCTTTTTCAACCAAACCCCTGAAATAACAGTTATACTTGAGAGGTATTTTACTATCTGTCCCCCTGTGCCCAGCACAATCCAGTCTTCTTCGCTAAAAGCTGGCAAAGTCTCCAGAATCTTAACCACATTTAACTCTGATTTAAAATACAGAGGCACCAATGGCCTCTGGTGGCAATGACCAGGGAGAGTTGTGGGCTGGGGAGCCCAGAGGGGCTTCTTCTCATGGCTTAGATAGAATGTGCACACAGGGGTGAAGGGTCTGACTTTAACTGAGCCATCAAGGTCAACCTCAGGGCAGTAAAACACACCACAAACCCTGAGACAGGGGGCACTGGCACAGATTCAAGACTTCCGCATTAAGTCTTGTTAAAATGCAAAACCTTAGGTCAATCCTGAGAAAACAGCACACAAACCCCAAATCAGAGGGAGGGTGGTCTCTGACAGTGATCAATACTTCTCAAGAGCATCAGGGTCATGAAAGACCAGAGGAAATGGAGGCTTGGTTACAGACTGTGGAGATGGAGGAGACAAGACAATAAATACAGTGCAGGGTCCTAGAACAGGAGGAAAACGGGTAAAAAAGTAAGGCCATCAGTTTAGCTCTGAGCATGTGGCCAACACTGACTTCCTAGATTTGATACTTGGACTTCAGTAAAGTAAGATGTTGACTTCAAGGAAAGCTAGACAAGGCATATATGGAAAGTCTGTACTATTTTTGCAACATTTTTCTAAGTCTAAAGTTAATTTAAAATAACAAGTTACCAAAAAATAGGCTGACACATCTGGGCTCAAGTCCCACCCTCCACTATAAGCCACAACATTTTCAGGAAATGGAGGGCCCATTCAAAGCCTCGGCTTCCTCACTCACAACCAGAACTGACAATTTTATTTTAAAAATAAGAATTAAAATATATATTGGTATATGAAGAAAAACCCTGGAGGAATGTACACAAGGCTATTAGCTGTGATCTCTGGGGATAAGTTTATACATAGACTGATTTCCATCTGTATATTAGTTCGTTCTCCATATGCTCTAATTTTAAAATAACCCACTTTGATCAATTTTTCCATCAGAAAGATAAAAATATGTTAAAAATGATATGAATAACATACAAGCACTGCTGTGTGACCACATCTGCCCATGCTGCTGGCTCCACCTTGGAACATGCCACCTGCTCTGCCTTAACAAGCAGTCTCTGCCCTACCCAGCCTCTCACCACAGCAGAGCAACTGACTGCACGCCATGGGTCCCCTCGGGCTCATCCCACCCCCAAACCAAGGCTTGCCCTCCAGTTCCCTGTGACGCTTCCCATGCTCTGGGTGAGCCCACCACCACCTGCCCTCACAGTCCCATCCCACTTTCCTGCTCTGTGCGTCTCCTCAGCAGGGCCTAGCTCTCACACTAATCCTCTCCCACACAGGACTGTGAATCTCATGAAGGCAGGGCTCCTCCAGGTGCAGGAAAGAGGTGACTTGCCGGGGTCCGAGGCCAGCTTCTCTCCACCTGTGGACACTCAGGGCTATCTTGTGCAGTTCAGGGTGCTGAGCAGCATTCCCGGCCTCCACTGGATACTAGAAGCAGTCCTCTCCCCAACTCCCATCTCAGGCTTTATTACCACAAAACCTCAGTGTCCCTGGGGCAGGGGCTGAGAAGTCCTGTCTGAGACTGAAAGGGACTGCAGAGAAGGGAGCTGGAGCCTGAGACACATTCTAAGTCAGCCACCCCACAAGGAACCCCCCTGAAAACATGGCTTCAGCAGGAAGCCCTCACCACACCAGCCCTTGCTCACATGAGGAGTGAGTCCTGAAAGTCCAGAGTTTAATTCCGGGCAAGCTGTACTCCTGGTGGTGGATAAGGGCCCCTGGGAAAAGCCCCAGGTGCAGCTTTCTGTACCTGTCCCTGTCCCCTGTCCTCACCTTTGGGGGCTTGAAAGGATAATCGGTAGGGAAGTGGATGGTCAGGAAGAAAACGCCTCCTTGGTAAGGACTGTCATTCTGGAGGATGAGACACCAAAAGCAGATTAGTACATGTGCAAGAGGCCCAACAGGCAAAGCAAGGGCTGCGCTGCTCAGCAGCGGCGACCTACCGGGCCCATGATGGTGGCTTGCCAGTGGAACACTGCAAGACAAAAGAGAGACAGGAACGTGAGCCTCTCCAGCAAACACGTCTCTCCACCAAAGAGGAGCCGCTCTGTTCAGAGGGCGCTGTTCACATAGGCCTGCCCTCACTTCTGACACCAACCACCACTGTAGGGGTTTCTGTAATTTAATTGGATTCCAGACTCACCAAAGATTGTTGTGCTCACAGCTCTGCTTTATCACAGTGAAAGGCTGAGGTCAATGTCAGCTGAGGGAAGAGCTCATGGGGAAAGTTCCAGGCAGAGCACAAACATAGACCTTCCACTGTCCTCTTCCCTGGAGCCCCGGCACCGATGTGTGACAACACATGGAATACTGCCCACAGGGACGCTCACCCCTGGCTCGGCGTACAGTTTCTCCTGGAACTCCATCATGTTAGCAGGATGGATTAATGGACTATTCACATGCTGATCTATGTCTCCAGTTCCTCTGGCAATGATCCAAAACCTCCACCTTAAACCTGCGGGCTGGTCTGTCTAGTGCGGCCTGCCCCACCCAACTCACATTGCTGGTTTGGGTCAAGGCCTTCAGCTAAAACAGACAGTCCTATCAGGCAGGGTAGTTTAGACATCGCCTTCCTGAGGCTAGGGACAAAGGCCAGATCTTCCAAGGACAAAGTTAAATTCTTCACTATCCAGGTGCCAGTAAACTACAATTCAATCTTCTCTCTGCACAGAATTAAGCCTTATGTAGGTTTTAGCCACTTTCCACATCACTTTTATAAATCTCTCTTCTCCTCAGTTCTTCACTATTTACTCTGAAGTCTTCTCCAAAGGGTCTCTTTCAAGAATCAGTCGATGCCTGTGGCCCTGGGGCTTCAATATGGCTACTTCCCGCCTGTGTCCTCTCACACCTCCAAGAGCAGCCCTCGTGTTCTTCCCTCCCAGGTTCTCACCAACCTGGTGGTCGGCCAGGTCCCTCCTTACAGTGTCAGAGCTTTCTCCAGCTGCACATCACGCCTGCGGCCCTCTCTGGAGTCACACTACTTTTACTGCTGTACACACCCCTAGAAAAGCTCCTGTGCACTCAGCAAGACTGGCCTAGAGCAGGCAGATGACTCAGTCCTAAAGCTCCCAGGACACTGTACTCCAGTCTTTGCAGAAAGTGCCTATATACCCACCTTGAGGGGCTGCTGAGAGCATCTGAGGGATCTGTTATTCTCTACGGAATTCTGTCTCATGGGTCCATCACGGATGTGAAATCAGCCCCAATTTTCAGACCTGGTCCTGTACTGGGTTTCCTGCCATCTATTCAAATACCTCACAGGCTCTGCCCTTGCCAGCAGACAGGAAGTTTCCAAAGCATGAGGAGGGGAAGGAATTGAAGGGACAAGAGAAGAGGTTTCCAAGCCCCTACAGGTATCCAAAGATAGTCACAGATGCCCTTGCCCTTTTTCAAATGTTTCAAGAAATGCTACTGATGGGAACCCTTTTATCTACAACGAGGCTGCCTAAGCTAATAAAGTGTCACTTCTTTTTCTTTTGACTGCTTTTATTCCAACTCATGCTAATCATTACCTGGTAGGTATACATTTTCCTAATCATAGTAGAGAATGGAATTCCTTATTAAATAAATGTTTTTTGATAATTAATATACAGAGAAGGGGAGGAGCAGATAATATGAGTGGCTCCTTCTGGCAAACAGGTGACCCTTTGGTCCCATTCACTTTAACCCCTGAGGTCTGCTGAGGGGCTGAGCAGAACCCAAAGGCACAGTCAGAACAGAAGGCTCCAAAAGAGACAGGAAGAGAAAGTAAACTGCAGAGGGATGCAGGAAAAGGGCTGTTAACTCACAAGGCAGGCATGAAATGGCCCCAAAAGGTTAGCTAGTTTCCAAGACTGTGCAAACCTCGTCAGAACTCAGGTACTGACTATGGAGGGGTGGCTAGACTCTCAGATAGAGACGGCTGCTTCCCAGCACAGGGCTGCAGGGAAGGCAGAGACTGTGTGGTGCAGAACACCAAGGGGTGCCTTTAGAAAGCGGAGGCTGAATCATTACCAGTCCAATCTTATCAGTAACCCCAGTACACATTGTTTTAAGCAACAGGTAAGAAGGGGAAAATATGCTACTGAGACCTGTGACGCTTGGAAGGACAACACAGATCAAGTAACAAACCAGTGAAGCCACACTTGTTCACTAACTCTGCATGTGCAATGGGAATCATTTCTGTTCTGCTCTAAAGAATTCTTTAAACTCTCACATAAAGCTTTTGGAATCCTCCATATTCAGTAGCTGTCTGTCCACTTTAACTTCCTCTAAGCATCAGCCCATAGAACACACAGGAACACACACATATGACTTCTTCCTCACATATGACTACTTCCCTCTTTTTTTTTTTTTTTCCCATCTCTGTGAAATTTTTCTTTCTTGCATTTTAACACAATAAAAGTTTTAAAAAATGTAGCGTATGGCTTCCCTGCTGGCTCAGACAGTAAAGAATCTGCCTGCAATACGACAGACCCAGGTTTGACCCCTGGGTCGGAAAGATCCCCTGGAGAAGAGAATGGCTACCCACTCCAGTATTCTTGTCTAGAGAATTCCAAGGGTTTGCAAAGAGTTGGACACAAAAATGTAGCATAAAATATGTCATTTAAGCCATTTTTAGGTGTCAAGTCAGTGGCATTAAGCACGTTCATGATGCAGTGCAACTACCAACATCCATTTCTGAAACTTTTCCATCACTCCAAACAGAAATTCTGTACCATGGAATATTTTCCCATTTCTGCCTCCTCTCAGCTTCTATAAACCTCTCCACTCTACTCTCTGTCTCTATTATCTGCCTTGTCTAGCTAGATAGTTCATATAAATGGAATCGTATAATATCTGTCCTTTCGTTTCTGGCTTATTTTATATGGCATATTTTCAAGATTCACCCATGTTATTGCATGTGTCAGATCTTTATCCATTTTTATTGCTAAATAATATGCTATTGTATATATATATGTATACACACACATATATATACGACTTTGCTTAATCATTTATTTGTTAATGGGCATGTGGGTACCTCTGGAGGATTATAAACAATGGTGCAATGAACACTGATATAATGAGTTCTGTTTTTAATTCTTTGGTGTCCTTGAAGGGCACCACCCCTCTTTTTACAGTCTCTCCCTCACGCACCTACTTTTCCTTCATATGCAGCTATTAGAGCCTCACAGTAAAGGATGAGCATCCCAGAGCCCAAGATGCTCAGAAAGTAGAGGTGAAGTGGGATAGTGGAGTAGATTTGGGCTATCCAAGTGTTGCGTAGCATGGCCTATGGCCAGTCGGCTACAGAGGGTGGCAGAGGGCTGCCCACCGCAGCTCCTTCAGTCTCCCCCTGGGAGCAGAAGTGGGAGAAAAGAACTGTCCCTTCCCTTCGCAGAGACAAGGAGCTAGCCCCATTCCCCACCCTTCACCAACCCTACAGTTCCACCCCCAAGTGCAAGAGCAACAGGTCCTCCATGATTAGCTTCATGACCATTTTTCCAGCAATGCCCCAAGTTTTATTTGGCTTTCCAGATGGCTTTCTTGTGTCCCAGTGGAGGGAGATGGTGACTTCCAGCAACATCTTGACCAGCCGGGCTATGAAGTCAATGCATCTTATGAAAAAGCTACTCACAAGTAAAGGGAGAAAGCAACAGTAACAATGATACGTTTTCTTAAAACAAAAAACAAAAGAACTGAGGGGCAGCTAAATTTGGGGGTCCTAATTGCAAGGCTCATGGGATCTGGAGCCCTGAAGGGTACTTACAATCATCTCCCACAGGTCCTGCAGAGCACTGGGCAGGGGGGTCCCTCTGCAAGTCAGTTAATTCCTGGAACACAAGATAGTGAGCTCAGAGCCGGGTGTGAACTGGGGATACTGCTCCACACCCCACGCATTTTGGCCAGAAGCGCATTCTCCTAGTGGGAGGGGGCTTCCAGACTTCAGGAGGGGGTGAGCCTGGCTAATGAAAACAAGTCATCTGTAATACCCTTGAAAACAAGGGTCTGCTCATGGCTGTGAAGATACGTGTGAAAAATGTATTACCATTGCCAATTAATAAGCTAGAAAATTTAGAGGTAAAGAGGTTAAGTTACTTACCCAAGGTCACAGAGCTGAAAGGGGGCAGGGCCCCAACACCACTCAAGTGGAGAAGGGCAGGGGCTAGGCTTTAGCTCTGAGCTCCTCAATGCAAGCACTTAGCCCAGAGGAAGTGCCCGACTAAGGACAGGGCTCCTGTATTTCAATCTCTCTGCCCCACTATTGCCCTACTCACCACTGGTTGTACGGGAGCCCTAAGGCTCCAAGTGGGAGATGAAGGACATGTGAGCCAGTGAGTACACAGCTATACTATATACCAGTGGGGGAAAACAGGAATTACATCATAACTAGATTCCCTAAATGGGATACAATTTGTGGACACAATCCCCAAAAGTTATCCTAGCCCAGCATGAGCCTCAAGGTCTAAGATTTGGGGCAGTGACTTAAAAACTAGTTTACATGTACTAGGATGTTTCCTAATACTCCTCACTCTCCCTAGGTTGCAGACCTGGGTAAACTTGCGGTCTCCAGAGGGGTTCCAAAGAGAAGCAATGAGGCACAAGTAATGGTCCATCAGGTTGCAGGGAAACTTCTCAGAGGATGGCAAATCCCAGGGTCTAGGGCATTATGTATGAAGTTTAAACCTGGCTGATCACATTCTTCCTTACCTGAACAATGCTTGAAACTGAGCTCATCCACAAAGAACCTCGTGACCCCACCTTGTAATCTCTGGGCATGCTGATCATTCTAATAATGCCTGCCTCTCTGGCCATTCTGTACTTATCCTACCTACACACAAATACAATTGGCCACAGTGGGAATATTTATATTACAGAAGCCAGCAAGTACCACAAGTCAGGGCCAAGTTTTATCCCAGAGGGTTGGTTTTTAAACACCTACTAGTATACCACTGGTCAGTTCTTAGCTGCCGCTGCTGCTAAGTCGCCTCAGTCATGTCCGACTCTGTGCGACCCCACAGACGGCAGCCCACCAGACTCCCCCGTCCCTGGGATTCTCCAGGCAAGAACACTGGAGTGGGTTGCCATTTCCTTCTCCGATGCATGAAAATGAAAAGTGAAAGTGAAGTCACTCAGTCATGTCTGACTCTTAGCGACCCCATGGACTGCAGCCTACCAGGCTCTTCCATCCATGGGATTTTCCAGGCAAGAGTACTGGAGTGGGGTGCCATTTCCTTCTCCGTCTTAGCTAGGATCTAATGTATCTAAATAGGTTACTCTTGATAAGCACTAAGTACCCAGCGTTACTAGTTGTCACAACAGAAATGAGCTTGGGGAACAACTAATGTCAGGTGAGGGGACCAGAGAACATGCTCAAAAATATAGCATGCCTGCAGGAAGCTCCACAGAACAGCTCCTCGCCTGTTTACCTCTGCTTTGGGCTTCCACACCTCTACAGCCACTCTGTAGGAGACTGTTTATACTCTGCAATGCTGTATGAATGAATGAGCTCTGTGATGAGGCTAAAGGAAATCCTGGAGAGATCACAGGAGCAACTGGGGGCAGGAAAGCTAGCAGAACTGGCCAATTCCCCCCAACTCACCAGGTTTCTCCATACCTCCAGGCATCTATATGGGCTGTTCCCTGTCCATAGAAGGCAAATACCTTGTAAAGGGCGTGGTGAATGGCTACTAAGAATTGATGATTTCTGAAGGCCCAGAAGTGGGTCTCAACTGACAGAGACTCCAACTAGCACCAAGGAGTTTCCAATGCTAACTGGCATTTCAAGGAAGAACAGTATGATTTGAAAGAAACTAGTCTACCAATATATTGCATTCTTGTGCTTTCCCAATAGAGGCCAGAAGACCCAGGTCTGAGTTCCAGCTCTGTCACTGGGAAAACAGCTTTGACCTCTTTGGGCCTCTGTATAAATTATCTGTTGAGTTGTAATTACATTTGCCTACCAACTGGCCAGCACTAGTATTTGGCTATAATTTTGTAATATTTATAACATACACAAATGTAGACAGTAAAAAATCAAGGATGACAGTGTATAAAGGATTCAATTATTAGCATTACAATAAGAAAAATGAGGAATGTACAGAGATACCTAGTACTGGAAGAGTACAGAAGAAACTAATAAGACTAACCACACCCTGGGAGAGGACCTGGGTGGCTGGAGGCAGGAGTGGATGGGAGAGTTTTCCCTGTAGACTCTCTTGCATTTTTAGAATTCTGAACCATGGGAATTTACTACCTGAACAACAAATGCACAAATATTTCATAAATTGTAAAGGATTAAGCAGGTTAACATTGTATAATACTTCTTGTTACAAGGAACACTGATGATAAGTGAGTCTTGAAAAGGAAAAAGGTCAGAGTGGATTACCAGAGGAAAATAGTGACACAAACATAGTACACACTCATTTCTCTTATTCTGCTGTATTCAACTCAAGATCTCATTCAATGCCAGACACAGTCTTATAGACAACTAAGAAGAAAACACACTGGCACTTAAACTCAAACCAAATGCATTCTTTTCTTTCCATCTTTAATTGGATAGTCTTTTAGTCTTGCATTGTAAGAATTTTTACATATTCTGGATATATATCTCTTCTCAGATATTAATATTTGAGAAATACTTTCCTCCATTCTGTGGGTTGTATTCTTGCTATCTCTTAAGTTTTTTTTAAGTATAACTGATTTACAATGCTGTGTTAGTTTCAGGTGTACGGCAAAGTGATTCAGTTATATAATTTTTTTTTTTTCTTTTTCAGGTACCTTTCCATTATAGGTTATTGCAAGATACTGAATATAGTTCCCTGGGTTATACAGTAGGTTCCTGTGTATTTTATACTCTGTATCTGTTAAACCCAAACTCCTAACTTATCACCCCCTCTTCCCCTTTGGTAACCATAAGTTTGCTTTCTATATCTGACTTCTACTTTGTAAATCAGTTCATTTTTGTATAATTAAAAAAAAACTCCACATACAAGTGATATCCTATGAGATTCCTTACACTTAAAACTTTTAATTTGAAACTAAGCTTTAAGTCAAAGCTATGGTTTTTCCAGTAGTCATGTGTGGATGTGAGAGCTGAGCATGGAAGAATTCATGCTTTTGAACTATGGTGCTGGAGAAGATTCTTGAGAGTCCCTTGAAATGCAAGGAGATCAAACCAGTCAATCCTAAAGAAAATCAACCCTGAACATTCATTGGAAGGCCTAATGCTGAAGCTCCAATACTTTGGCTACCTGCTGAGAAGAGCTGACTCACTGGAAAAAACCTTGATGCTGGGAACGACTGAGAGCAGGAGAAAAAGGCAACAGAGGATGAGAGATGGTTGAATAGCATCATTGACTCAAGGCACATGAGTTTGAGCAACTCCAGGAGATGGTGAAGGACAGGGAAGCCTGGCATGCTACAGTTCATGGAGTTGCAAAGAGGCAGACATAACTTAGTGACTAAACGACAAGAACAAAAAGCTTATTACTTGGGCATATGTTTTATCTTTAAATCGTTCATGCATACCAAAAGAGGAGTGGAAGACAAGTGAAATAAATAAATGGGTTCTCCTCGTTTAGAGTCTATACTAACCCTGGGTCATGGGTATCCTCACAGTCATCCCCTGTGCCTGCCAGGCAATGGTGATGTGGCAATTCTTAAACAGTTCTCCATGAATGTTTCTGGAGTTTTCTTCCAGAAAGGTCCACAACATATAACGTTTTGCACAAACCTCAGCAAATACAGGTGAGCCAGCCTCACTGACTAGAGGGTACATGGTATCTTCCTTTCTGTGGTCTATGAAGCATTTGGTTAGTGTCGCATGGAAATAAAGAACTGCAGTCCCTTTTCCAGCAACATTTATTCCATTAATATAAAATTTACTCCCTACTGTTCCATTTCTGTGCCTGTGTTCACAAAAGCTTTACTCTTTAGCATTAAATCAAAATATCTTTTGGAGACATTTTTAAAGCAATTAAACTCAACACATCGACAATGCACTTAACCTCAATATACACTGCTGTGACACGGCTTTCACACAGTGACAATCAAGTTACTGCCAGTGATTTTAAGCAGCATCCCAATTTCAGAGATGTGAAAATGTAAAAAAGTGTTCATCTCAGAGTAGATGAAAATATGGTATTATCTATACTTTCCTGACTTTGCAAGTTATCTCTAAAGAACAATTAACATTTATAGTCAGACCATTATATCTACCACTGTGGACAAGAATCCCTTAGAAGAAACAGAGTAGCCCTCATAGTCAACAAGAGTCCAAAATGCAGTACCTGGGTGCAATCTCAAAAATGACAGAATGATCTCTGTTTGTTTCCAAGGCAAACCACTCCAAATCTATGCCCCAATCACTAATGCCGAAGAAGATGAAGTTGAACAGTTCTATAAAGACTTACAAGACTTTCTAGAGCTAACAGCTAAAAAAAAAAAAAAAAAAAGATGTCCTTTCCATCATAGAGGACTGGAATGCAAAAGCAAGAAGTCAAGAGTAACAGGCAAGTTTGGCCTTGGAGTACAAAATGAAACAGGGCAAAGGCTAACAGAGTTCTGCCAAGAGAACGCACCAATCATAGCAAACACCCTCATCCAACAACACAAGAGACGACTCTACACATGGACATCACCAGATGGTCAATACCAAAATCAGACTGATGATATTCTTCGCAGCTGAAGATGGAGAAGCTCTATATAGTCACCAGAAACAAGACTGGGAGCTGACTGTGGCTCAGATCATGAACTCCTTATTGCAAAAGTCACACTTAAATTGAAGAAAGTAGGGAAAACCACTAGACCATTCAAGTCTGACCTAAATCAA